GCTACGCCGTAATCCACGTTGCGTGTCATGGGGTGTGCGCTACGTAACTCGTCAAATGCTAAGATTAGTCGCCAAATGCTGACTTTGTAAGACCCTAGCGCCATTGTCGCGCACTTTCGAGCCGCGACAACGGCACATCTGTGCTACTCGTGGGCTACTCTATCCCACCCACTGAATAGATTCTTCGACACGACTTTTACTGGGGGTGTTGCTTTGAAAGGCACAACCCAGGCAGAAGTCGTGTGAACGCTACCCTTCGGCCTGTGGTATAGACCCATAGAGAACAATCACTAATTTGGCATTCCTGTGCATGAAAATCGCCCAACAAGAGCGCTGGGCCTTGCCAATTTTCGACAAATTCTTTCCCCTTTTTCTTTACTGCCGGCCCACTTCGGAGCATTTGCATTCGTGTGCAATGCCACACCATTGTGATGCTGAAGCATGCCTTTAAGTACAATCGGCTCATGCAATGTTTATAGGGTCAGCTAATGTACAACTCAGTGTTCATATCCTCCCAGACAATTCTGACGTTAACACGTTGACGACAGCGTGACGCGGTAACGCGTCCCACTTTGCGCACCTCGTGGGACATTGTGACGCGGTAACGCGTCCCACCCAAGTCATCCCTTTTTCTTGCGCTTGTGCGACTTATTCCTAAGGTCTTTGTACTCATTCTATAGGTCATACATTAGCATACTTAAAAACCACATGGCTCACAGAAAGGCCAAATATTCTTTAGTTTGGCAGAGTTTTCCAGACCTTCTGTTCAGTTCATTCCTCGTTTTCTTTTCAATAACGTAACATGTTGATAAAAAGGAATAACAGAAGTGAATACAACCTATTCGTATGGGAAGATATGTGTTTTTACTGAAACAAAATTCCCTTTTCATGGCCTTAACACGTCATTTCGGTCAAACTTCCATTACTGTAACTCCTGATAAGCTAGACAGATCGAACATCATTGAAAACATTTCATCGCATCTAAGTATTGCGGATTTACAACTTAAAATCCATGGATTTGGTGTGCGGCGGCTGCGCTCGCAAAATCGCTCTTGTCCCACGAGGTGCAAAAGCACAAAACGCGCGATGTCGTCAACGTGTTAATAGGGACTGATAGTATAACTTCGTGGCAAGACGTATGGCTCCGAGCGAAACTCATTTTCTTGACTACAATTTTGACCATGGGTGTGCTGGGACTGCTGGTCGCGGTAAACCGAAACCACCTCATCAAACACTATCTGATTTATTAGTAATAAATTATATTAGTGGACAACTCAACCGGAAATGACAACACAAGTTCAAAATAGAAATAAGTAATAAATAAAAAATAAAATAAATAAATAAAAAATAAGAGTAATAAAAATTAAAAAGGCTAATAAATAATATATAAAACATAAAGTAATGAAATAAGCCACAGTCAATGCCCATATGTTCAGGTGTACCGTGATCTTAAACCTGAAAATCTGCTACTCTCTAAAACGGGCCATGTCAAGATAGCTGACTTTGGACTTGCCAAACTTCTCAGGGGAAAGTAAGTTCATTAACTGTTATTGGATAGTATACCATCACGGAGAAGATGGTCTTACCCGTCTATTTATTACGATCTGTGCATCCTGTGGAAATTGCTTTCCAGGACATATACTATATGTGGAACTGCTGAATACATTGCACCTGAAGTGATAATGAAGAAAGGTTACGGCATCGCTGTAGATTGGTACAAGCTTTTTTCACCTCTGCCTTACGTTTCCATTTTTTTCCATTTTTCATCGCCCCTTTTATCATATTTTGTGTGTCGTTCATTATTTAAACAGCTTTCCATCCCTCATATTTATTTATTTATTTTTCGATTTTTGTTTATTTTATTTTATTTACTTTTCTAATTTTTCATTTTTCGAGGTTATATATTTTCTGGGCGGAAGTGGTGTAGTGACAAGTGGCGCGCTCACCACGCGAGCGGTCCGGGGATCAAATCCTGGGTCGTGAGTCGCCCGGGCCAACCAAGCCTTCCATCCCTCCGGGGTCGGTTAATTGGTACTTGTCTGGGAGGATAAAAACACTGACTTGTACATCGGCTGGCCCCGCAAGTCATTGTATAGGCCACATCGCATTCAAACGCCACTGCGAATGTACAAATGGAAGTAGAATGCGTGCCGCATCCCAAAAAGGGATTGATCAACGGCAAATGCTTTATCCTTTTTTTATCCTTTGCTTCATTTTTTTTTTTCACAAGCATTTTTCTAAACCAAAGGCGAAGGAGCCAGTACGGATCGCCATCGGAGAGGGGAAGGAAAGAACGTCAATCATTTAGAATAAGGGAATTTCTAGCGGTGGATGTGCCCAAGATACAAACAGCCATGTTAGAGGTACTGGGCAAAAATATCGGTCAATGGGACGGGCAAGACACAGTCGTCAAAGCATTCAGGCCGATGCAGTTTGAACCAGCAGCCCCTGGGGTTGCTAGAGTGGCTTTACCTATTCGGTTGCTGAACCCACGTACCCTACTCGCGAAGAGAGTAAGGATACCGAATGTCGACTTAGCAAAAAATTTGGTTCTGCAGAGGGTAAGCGCTCAGGGAATGATCTGTGATGCATTACGCAGCTCGCATCGTTCACGTTAAGCAATGCCGAAGCGACCTGTAGGCAGTCTTCTTCCCATCATTTTCTACAGATTGATAGACCCCGGCACCTGCACTCTGGATGAGTGTCAGTGAAGCAGATTAGAACTGTTTGATACTTGGGCGTCTCTCTGATAAACCGAGGCGAATGCTGCGTAGATCCTTCTATATATAAACCTCTAACTTGGTGTGTCGGCTATATATAACCTACTTAGCACACTCTCGGTCGTTCCACATGGTACTGCAGTGGCAGTTGGGGAGGAGTGGGGAGAGGGGAGGCATGTCGTGATTGTTATAATTGCCTCTACATTCTGAAACAACTACCGGCGCATACCGTCCCCTCAAGGGTTTTGGTGCCACAATGGAAATGAACATAGGGGTTCCAGCAGGAACGGAGGATTCGGCGATGCCGGGGTACCAACCTGGTGGTTATAAAATCACATGGAATTGAATAGAGTGATAAAAGTGGGTGACTTCTGTGATCAGTCTCTTTCAGGGAGAATTCCACCCCTCCAAACGTTACGATAACCACGTTCTTGTTCACTTCTGAAAGTAAGGTGATGGAAAATTTTGTTGGTACAGTGCAACGAAAGTTGCAGGATAAACAGTCGACTTCACTACTTTCATAAGCCGCTTCCCTGAGTGTTTTGTTAGAGCGCACAAGTCGAAAATCTTGCGTTATACAGAAAACAGCATACGCGGAGAATAACATGAAAAAAATCGAAAAGTTTCGCGATCGCGTTCAGTTCCCGTGGTTTGTGCCCACCCCGCAGAAAGTGTGATGAAGAATTAGGCGGACAGAGCAAAGCTTCCACACGACGATCTGGTATTCCAGTTTCAGCTAACACCAGGCTAATTCGAACAAAATTTCAAGCTTGAACTGTTTGGAGACATACCACTTCCAAAGTTCTGATTTTAGGTGGTCCTTAGGCGTTTTGATTTTCGAACTTCTCCACGGTCAGCCGCCATTCTATGGAGATAGCACGGATGAGGTATTTGAAGCCATACGGCAAGGCGACATCTCATTTCCCGACGACTTGGATGTTTCCGCTCGGTTGGTCCAGCTCCTCAC